AAACAAAACTGATCCAGTAGCTTGTTTCAGAACAGCGAGCTTCTCAGTCTATTCGTCGAAGAGGGCGCCCATCAACCCTGGATGCAGAAGAAAGACTTGACAAGCACCCTCATTTTATTGCCATATTAGAAGGAAAGAAGAGCAGGGATTGTGCAGTATGTAGTGACAGAAAAACACCTAGTCAGAGGCGACAGACAGTTTATTTCTGTGAAACATGCTCGCGTCAACCTGGACTACATCCTCGTATTTGCTTCAAAAAGTACCACACTCTGACACAATATAGATAAACAGCATTTTTTTTTTACATTTTTCAAACACTTTTTCACAATAAAAATGAATTAAACATATGGTATGTTCTGTTACTTGCTTGTTACAAGAGCGAATGTAGCCCACGTAAGTTGTGCATGTTTTTTTCCAAAAAATATTCCGACCTGGCAACAAGTCAGGTCAAATAAAATTTGGACCTGAAAAGGCTAAACGTGCGTAACAATACACACGGGCGTCCGGCCTGACTACCTAGAGACCAGAGAAAATAACTAGAAGTGGACGTGAAAAAAATCTCAGCCTACACCAGGGCTTTAACCTCGAGACCACTCAGCCCCCTTTGTGTTTGTACCCATGCCGATCCCGACCCCGCTTCACGACCCCATATATGTAGATAATGCTATCTTATGGATGGGAATGTTTACCCGTCAGCGCCCGTATCTGGGTGTCTACGTTTGATTTTATCTGGAATAGTAAACACCTACACCAGGGTTCGGGAGTCGCCGTGGCCGAGCGTCTAGACGCGCGCCGCGGATCGGAAGGTCGTGGGTTCGCTCCCTGGCGGAGACGAACTTTTCTTCAAAAATGACCTTGGCTCCCAGGTCGACCCAGCCAGGGTTCGTTAGCTAAGTTTACTCAGAGACCAGTATTTTCAAACGCATAGAAAGATACCTCTGTCAACCAAAGCAAATCTCATAAGAACATAGTTTTTTTTTGGGGGGGGGGCGAGGGGGGGGGGCGAGATGGTGCTATCAATGCCAAACGTGGAACCTTACTACAACTAACGAGCGGAAGATCGTAACAACAGAGATGAAATATCTTAGGAGAGCTGCCGATGTGACAGGAAGAGATAAGATCAGATATAAAGTAATTAGAAGAAGACTATGAAAGTAGTCATAAAGTTAATTAAAGAACAACAAATGAGATGGTTTGGCCACCTGACGAGAATGATCTGGTACCAACTGCCACAGAGAGCCAGGCTGTAAAAATATAGAGAACACATAGCAAGGGGAAGACCACGCAAGACATGGAGCGACAGCATCAGTAGCAATCTAACAGAAATGAACACCACTTGTAAAATACATTAGAAAAAGCAGACAAACGATCCTTGCATCTCCCCCCAACACCTCGCTAGGGTAAATAGTGGAAAAAGAAGAAGAAGAAGAAGAAGAAGAAGAAGAAGAAGAAGAAGAAGAAGAAGAAGAAGAAGAAGAAAAAGAAGATAAGAAGAAGAAGAAGAAAAAGGAGAAGAAGAAGAAGAAGAAGAAGAAGAAGAAGAAAAGACGAAGAAAAAAAAGAAGAAGAAGAAGAAGAAGAAGAAGAAGAAGAAAAAAGAAGGAATGGTCAGGGACCGGATGTCTAAGCCTTAGCCTAGAAATATCAATAATATAATACAACTTGCAGTGATCCGCGGGTTATTTGTTAAGCCTCCTCGGGTACGTGCAATGTTACGCTATTTTATATGGCGCACATAACTTGGTCACAATTATAACCTAGGGCTCCCATAATGATTGGTTATTTTCTGTAACCCAGAATGAGAAGGTTACTGTGAAAGGATCGACGGCTTTGATACATGATTAGGGGAATTAACTCCTCTACATATATTCTCAACAGCATTTAAAAGTCCATGGAGCACCAGCTAGGAGCTCCAAATAAAAATTTTGAGAGCATGCATCATCCCTGTAGCAACATACAGATGTGAGTTGTGGACTATCTCCCTGTAGCAACATACAGATGTGAGTTGTGGACTATCTCCCTGTAGCAACATACAGATGTGAGTTGTGGACTATCTACCAGTCCTTAAGAAAGAGAATAGGGGCTTTTGAGGTGAAATGCTATAGAAAGATTCTCAGAATATCTTGGACAAAGAAGAGGAGAAATACTGACATCTTGAAAGATCTGAACATCACGGAAGATTGGCTAATAAACAGCATCCTGTCTCGAAAGCTGAAATATTTTGGTCATATCATGCGCCACGACGGATTGGAAAAAAAAAATTATAGCAGAAGGCATAGTACCAGGAAGGAGGGGCAGGGGAGGACCGACACAAAGATGGGCACAGGATATAAGTGACTCCTTGAGTATGAAAATACATGAAGCGGGAGAGCTGGCGAAAGACCGAGTTTCTTTCAGGCAGACTGTGATGAGAGCGACGTTATGCAAAGGACCTGCTACATGATTATGATGATGGTTTGTAGCTGAACCAAGGCCTTCTCTAGGAGGCGGCTTCGGCGGTACACTCTATAATTTATCTGAAGAAAAAAAAGGAGGGGGGGGGGTGGAGGTTTTGGTGGGTTCAAGGGTCATAATTCCGTAAGTTTCGACGCCTCTAGTGAATCCACTTCCCGTTATCGTCAATTAATACAACCTACCCAAACATGAAACACGCACCAGTGACTCACGAGCTACCCGGATACCCGACTTCTGACAAAGTTTTCTTTCTTGCAAACCCTGAATGTTGTAGCAGAGATAGGGGAATTAACATGAGCCATTATGTCAAAGAGTTCAGGAGTGAGCGCTCTAGAAAGATTTTTTTTCCTTTCTTTTCTATGGCAGAAAACACGTGAGCAGATCCAGGTGGGGGTGATGCAAGTTTGAGGTCTGGTGCGCGTGTTCTTGTTTCGTTTGGAGGTCACAGGAGGATGATACATGAAGCAGGTTCTTTGTTTTACAGCGGATGGAGAGATGAGAAGGAAGGAATCTTTTTTCCTTCTTTCTTCTTTTTTTCTCTTTCTTTCTTTCTTTCTTTCTTTCTTTCTTTCTTTCTTTCTTTCTTTCTTTCTTTCTTTCTTTCTTTCTTTCTTTCTTTCTTTCTTTCTTTCTTTCTTTCTTTCTTTCTTTCTTTCTTTCTTTCTTTCTTTCTTTCTTTCTTTCTTTCTTTCTTTCCGTGCTTCCTTCTTTCCTATTTTCTTTCTTTCTTTCTTTCTTTCTTTCTTTCTTTCTTTCTTTCTTTCTTTCTTTCTTTCTTTCTTTCTTTCTTTCTTTCTTTCTTTCTTTCTTTCTTTCCTTGCTTTCTTCTTTCCTATTTTCTTTCTTTCTTTCTCCTTTCCTTGCTTCCTTCTTTCCTATTTCCTTTCCTTTCTTTCTTTCTTTCTTTCTTTCTTTCTTTCTTTCTTTCTTTCTTTCTTTCTTTCTTTCTTTCTTTCTTTCTTTCTTTCTTTCTTTCTTTCTTTCTTTCTTTCTTTCTTTCTTTCTTTCTTTTTTTCTTTCTTTTTTCTTTCTTTCTTTCTTTCTTTCTTTCTTTCTTTCTTTCTTTCTTTCTTTCTTTCTTTCTTTCTTTCTTTCTTTCTTTCTTTCTTTCTTTCTTTCTTTCTTGCTTTCTTTTTTTTCTTTCATTTATGTTTATCTGTCCTTTTCTTTCTTTCTTCCTAAACCTTCTTCCTCCTGCTTCATTCCTCATTCTCTTCCCCTCATCACTACTTTCTCTTTCTCACCTTCTTTTTCTTTAAATTCTGAGCCTTCTTCTCCTCCTTGTAGCCCTTCTCCTCCACCACCGTCTTCGTCTTTTTCTTATCCACCTCTTCCTATTTCTACTCATTACTCCTTCTCTTTCACCATCATAATCTTTTTCTTCTTCTTCTTCTTCTTCTTCTTCTTCTTCTTCTTCTTCTTCTTCTACTACTACTACTACTACTACTACTACTACTACTACTACTACTACTACTACTACTACTACTACTACTACTACTACTACTACTACTACTACTACTACTACTACTACTACTGCTGCTGCTGCTGCTGCTACTACTACTACTACTGCTGCTACTACTACTACTGCTGCTGCTACTACTACTACTACTACTACTACTACTACTACTACTACTACTACTACTACTACTACTACTACTACTACTACTACTACTACTACTACTACTACTACTACTACTACTACTGTTGCTGATGCTGCTGCTGCTGCTGCTACTACTACTACTACTACTACTACTGCTGCTACTACTACTACTACTGCTACTACTACTACTACTACTACTACTACTGCTGCTACTACTACTGCTGCTGCTGCTACTACTACTACTGCTGCTGCTGCTACTACTACTACTGCTGCTGCTGCTGCTACTTCTACTACTACTACTACTACTACTACTACTACTACTACTACTACTACTACTACTACTACTACTACTACTACTACTACTACTACTACTACTGCTGCTGCTGCTGCTGCTGCTACTGCTGCTGTTACTACTACTGCTGCTGCTACTACTGCTTATTGTTTCTTTATTTTTTTTTCTTTCTTACCATCCTGTCCTTCCACACATAGAAGCTCATCCCCCCCCCCCACAGCATACATAAAATAACTATTTCCCATATTTTATGCACACACAAGCTCCCACCTTTGCATCCACGTTTCCATGTCTGTATATCTTCCCCAAGGATGATGATGATGAGGATGATGAATATGAGGAGGATAATGATGAGGAGGATGATGATGATAATGAGGATGAGGACGATGATAATGATAAGGAGGATGATGAGGACAATCAGGACGATGATAATGATGAGGAGGATGATAATGATCATTGTGATGATGATAATGATGATGATTGTGATGATGATGTGATGATGTTGATGATGATGATGAGGATAATGATGATGAGGGTTAGGATGATGATGAGGAGGATGATGATGATGAGGATGATGATGATAATGATGATGATGATGAATCCACCGGAAGTAAAAGAGACAATGACATCACACAACACTGGTACACAACTTACCTAAAAGAATAATACGAACATCCCGATGTCTGAAGCGGGCCCATAAGTTCCCCATGGTTGGGTTACTAGATAATCCTTGCATTAATCAATGATGAGAAAGAGGCTCCTTGTGTCTCAGTGCGATCCACATTTGTTCAAGGCAGTGCAATCTAAGGTAATCCCATTCTGTTGTTTTCAATCCACTTTATAACTGGCAAACTTCCTTTGAGTATTCCGGTGTTTTCCTAAAATAAAATGAGAGAAAAGAAAATAGACGCTTGCTAAAAGTGGCCGAGGCTGTATCAATGAAATTCTACTCTTCTATGTTATGTAAACAGAAAGTTCACATGATCAGTTTGAAGTTACCATGGTAATCACTTGACTGATTTTGAATCCCGGCGGATAGACGTACGGCAACTCGACAATGTGGTTTATACATTTTAGCAAGACCAAGATTTGTTTTGTTCTTCATTCTATATTGAAGAAACTCTGTAGTTTTGCACTAGACGATACAGCGAAATATGTCAAGCAATAAATTGTTCAATGCATTGTTTATATATGGATTATTAAAATTTACAACGGGAAAAAATCATTTGAAAAATAGGTTATAACATTGACTGTTTAACACACACAAAAAGAGCAGGCACTCGAGGCATGGAGTCCGCCTCGAGTGCTAGAGGTTCCGGGTTTAATCCCGGGTAAGAGATAGGATTTTTTCACATAGACAAGTATTTCAGGATCCTCGCCTGTGCTACAGAGCCTGTGCACTTTGCTGAGCTTTTTCGGACTCCGTCTTGAGTTAGAAGAAGAACTGAGCACTTATGGGTTACTAACCGTGTGCCATGATGTTGATCCGTTGTTCAAACCTCAAACATCAATCCAAACGACTAATACAAACCAAGCATAGGTAATCGCACATATCTGGTTGACCGGTACCAGCGAAAAATTAGGTAACACACTTACCCTAATGACTAATACAAACGATAAATAAGTAATCGTAGACTTGTAAAAACGAAAAACAAAAGGTAATACGCAGATTGCTTAATGACTAATGTAAACTAAAAATAGTCGGCGTCCGTGGCTTGGGGGTTGCGAATGCGCTTCGTAATGGTGGAACGTTGGGTTCGATCCCAACTTCAGGCGATGTAACGGCACCCCGCCTTGCGTTAGTTTCTACACTGGTATCCAGAGCCGACCGTACAGTGAGCAATGGCAAACTACTGGACGCAAATTTGCCTAGAAAAATCACTACAGCGAAAAGAAATGCTGGGGTTTGTTCTGCAACGTCCTGTGAATGATATGCAACTAACTTTAAACGAAAAAAAGGCAATCACAGAGGTAATCTTGTTAATTTCCTTCTTCTGAAAGTCCATGACGTGTGGCGTTGGTAGTCATGTCATTATCCACAACCTTCTGTCTCGTGTACTTTCAATCAACTCTGACACAGATGATCCTCCATGCCATGATGTCAGGCTGTCCAGCATCTGTTCTCTTAGTCTCCATCTGCCTCTGCTTCCCTCCAACTTTCCTACCGTCACGATGTACTCCAGTTTTACTCTTATCTTATCTTACTCTCTATCACATGCCCAAAGAATGTAGATTGTCTGTCTTCATGAGTCAGCTGTCTTCATGTGTCAGCTGTCTTCATGAGTCAGCTGTCTTCATGTGTCAGTTGCTTTCAAGACGTCCTCATTGCTCTTTTTATCTGTCCAGTGTATTTTCTCTCTCTTTTATTGTACCCCAACACGACATCACACAAGCGATAAACACCCGCTCACACAAATTGCCACCTTGCGGATGAGAATCACCTGTTGAGAGTTCATTAAAAACCCCTTTTCAGTCGCTAGGCCATTTTTTTGGCCCAGCTATATTCAGGGCCCGCAGCAAAAGCCAGGGTAGGGCTTCAAATAACGAAAAATTGCATCCCACATAGGGACAACTATAGAGAGTCCAGGGTATTCTCATCATTTGTCTATAAAACCACATATCTGCAGCTTCCAAATAATGTTTAACTAATTTACTAACTGTCCATGATTCACTTCTCGTTTACTTTGCACAACACGAATATCACACGCACAACACGAATATCACGTGCAAATAACGAATATCACACGCACAATACCAATATCACACGCACAACACGAATATCACACGCACAACACGAATATCACACGCACAATACCAATATCACACGCACAACACGAATATCACATGCACAACACGAATATCACATGCACAACACGAATATCACATGCACAACACGAATATCACGTGCACATAAAGAATATCACATGCACAACACGAATATCACATGCACAACACGAATATCACGTGCACATAACGAATATCACATGCACAACGCGAATATCACGTGCACATAACGAATATCACATGCACAACACGAATATCACATGCACAACACGAATATCACACGCACAACACGAATATCACATGCACAACACGAATATCCCACGCAAAACACGAATATCACACGCACAACACGAATATCACACGTACAACACGAATATCACGTGCACAACACGAATATCACACGCACAACACCAATATCACACGCACAACAGAAATATCACATGCACAACGCGAATATCACATGCACAACATGAATATCACACGCACAACAGAAATATCACATGCACAACATGAATATCACACGCACAACAGAAATATCACATGCACATCACGAATATCCCACTCAAAACACGAATATCACATGCACAACACGAATATCACACGCACAACACGAATATCACACGCACAACACGAATATCACACGAATTTCTCAAACCCCACGTTGACTTGCTACAACCGAATAAAATGTAATCCCACACATCGGGAACTAAACGTTGAAATGAACACACGAAGTATAATGTCATCTCACATGACGTGTAACTTGGCACAGAAAGAAAGAACTTAAGGGGGGCGAGAAACTCCCACAGGTACACGACTTCGTCATTCCTATTTGGCACCGGAGTAAACTTGAACTTGATCATAAACGTAAGTGAGCAGGAAAAAAGCTGGCGTTTCGTTCTAGGTGGATAAAGCAGGCCACGTTTTCAAGCAGAGATTTCGTGCCTATCGCAGCTGGGCTGTCCTGAAATAATGGGTCAAGGTAAAGGGCGTGGAATGGCGAGCACACAAACATCAAGTTCTGGAGAAAGACTAAAATACAGAAGTAGATCCAACTGCTGCTCTTAAAAATTGTAATTCTAATGTCAAATCACACAACAGCCATGGGCTGTTGGGGTTGGTTCGGCAACGTCCTGTAGAGGATACACAACTAACGTTAATGTCAAATCAGTGCTGTTTTATGGGGCGGAAATATGGAGAACAATTAAGGCAATTACTTATAAACTAAGACATTTTTAACTGGTGCATGTGCAGAATAGAGGAAATTAAATGGTATGTTAGAATCATTATTGTTGAGTTTGGAAGCCAACTACACAAGTTCCAGTGGTCCAAGAGGTGAAGAAAAGACGGTGAAAAACCTGGGAACAATAGAGCAAATGTCTTTGCACTGGAGTCCACAGGAGCATAGAAATCATGGGTGAAAAAAAAGGGTGGGGGGGGGGGCGGGGGTGGGACATCGCGTAGAGAAGAGAACTAGAGAGTGCAGTTAAAAAGATGGGGAGGACATCGGGAGGGTTGCAAGCGATAGCGAAAACCAGAACGACTTGGCGTGAGTTGGCTGAGGGTGTATGCTCCATAAGTTCCTGAGTTGAGTTGAGTCAAGAATTGATATCACAGGACTCAGGTCATTCCAACGCGCGCTCCGTCCCCATCTTCAGCAGCCAGCGCAGAGTTCCAATGCTGATGGTACCGGTCACAGTCTGGTTATTTCACTCTTTGCTGCACACTGAAGTCGACGTCAAACGCAGAGCAGGTGCTCCATAGCTCCGGCGACAATTCTTCCATAAGTTCCTGGTACCGCGTAACCTGTTGCATCATCATTATCATCATCATCATCAGCATTATCATCAAGTGCCTTGCCAACTGGCGTGGCCCATCATGCCTCTCCACACTCTGCGATCTTCAACAGCAGAGATCAGCTCGTGTGCCGACACCCCTCCATGCCACGACGAAAGGCGGTCAAGAATATTCTTACATTGTCCTCCTCTGTCTCTCTTTCCCCAGATCTTTCCAGTGGTCACAACATGTTCCAGTTTCCTTCTTCTCAAAAAATCTTCATCTTTTCTCTGTTCCTGGAATTCCATGCATCGTCAGGGCAGGAATATATCTCTGGATCAAGCCCTTCTGTTCGCTTTTTATAACATGACTAGAAAAAAAGATGTCTCCTGTTGATGTTTGTGACACCATTGCATAAGCTCAGAAGCCAGCACCCTGGTTGACACATTTTCCGCTAGCCTGTAACTAAAAAAAAAAGGGCAGCTCCGACTGAACAGATCGACCTGTAGCCGTTTTTAGAACAATCGATACGACCACCCCAGGGTACGGGGGAAAGTTGGGATCTGATGATGTAATGTACGGGTTGGGAGAGGGAGGGAGAGACAGTTTGCTACGGATGTGTCATAATGTTAAAAAATAATACATAGAAGGGCGTGACCTCCTCGTGTCTCATTTGATTAGACCTATTTTCCCTTGTGGCTTCCAGGGCCCTAAAATAAACCCACTGTTCCCCACCGATCAACCTTTCTACTTCTTTCTATGAGTGCCGATCAATACACTTTCTGTTACTTGATTAATTCATAATGTTCCTCACCGAGCATAAGAGTAGACTAATTAATTGTGTTTCTTTCAAAGTTGGAGTGCATCTGCCTGCGAGACAAAGAACCAGTAGTCTGCATACCAAAAAAAAAAAAAAAAAGCCAGATGTGTAAAATGGAACAAGGCTAAAGTCTAAAAGTAGACGAATAATCATAACTTTCCGGTCGAGTTTACAATCTGCGAACTACAAGAAGAATAGGAAGAGGAAAAAGAAGAAGAAGAAGAAGAAGAAGAAGAAGAAGAAGAAGAAGAAGAAGAAGAAGAAGAAGAAGAAGAAGAAGAAGAAGAAGAAGAAGAAGAAGAAGAAGAGAAGAAACGATAGTTAAAAAAAAG